CTTTCCATAACGGTACTTTGCTCGATTGAAAACTAGTTATTCTTCCTATACTCTTTGCTGGTTTATAATCATAAGGAAAATCCGTAAGAAACAAAGAATTTATTGAACGTATCGTGTTAACAAAATTACCTATTTAATTCTGTATTATACGTACATACGTTATAAGACATATAAAGAATTTCTATAAATTTAAGTAACTCTCTTTAATATGTCATGCAAAAGATTTTCGGATGTCTGATCAAAGTTTTCTTTTCCCTTTTTCTTACGATATACCATTCCGTGTCTTTTTTTTTTTATTATTTATATCATCGATCGTTATTCAATCGTTCATACTTTAGTTTACATTTAATGTATCTTACACTGGTGGAGTAATATGGTGTAGTAGCAGGTTGTAGTATGTTAGAATTTCATTTTTTTTTCTCGTTTACATTCTAGAATATTTCTTAAAAACGATCATCATCGAATTATTGTTATTTACTAACTAATATAAACGTGTTTATAAACATCTTTATAAATGTTAAATTTTTTCAGTGAATCATTAGGAATAAAAAGAAATTGTTTATTCAAAACCATTGTTTGTCCGGGTTCGTGCTAAGTTCATAATCGTGCCTTAGAATCTAATGATTAAAATATTTCTAAGGAAAATGTCATTCCCTTTTGTCAGTTATATTTTTTTTCTGTAATCATCTATCTTGAGATTTTATCTAGAAAAATATGTATATGTGTATATATTTTATATATATGTATATATTGCTTAGCGAGCATTTTAACAATTGATATTACTAATCACAACATCAACGGAATGTCATATGCGATAAACATCAAATGTGAGAATTGTATACACTCGTAACAATGGAATCTATTCACGCCTCATATTTAGCGGTAAACGAGGCCGTCTCAATCTAAGCGATTGTTTACAGTCATCAGACGAAGACGTAAATTTAGATCATCGAAGTTCGAGATATTTGACAAACTTTGTGTCGTATATATATATACATATCTCGATATAATTACAATTTATTGTATATTTATCTTTTCACGACCTTCTCTCTGTACAAAATATGTGTACATATACAAACAAACACAGAAAAAGAAACCAAAAAAAGTCTCGAGATCAATATTCGAAAATTCATTAATTTCTCGGAAACTGAAGTTCTTCCAATGACGATAATATAGTATCTTATATTTAGGTAACCTTTACAGGATAATCACGAAACAAATGGTCTCTACTAGACCGAAACACTATTAATCATAAATAGACTTTCGGTAAAGTACTATTGTAAGATAGCGCATTCGAATTTCTTCGAAACATGATCAATAATAAAGATAACGAAGAAACGAATTTTCTCTTCGATCGATTTTTTTCTTTTCTTTCTTTTTCTTTCTATTTTTTTTTCTCTTATCACATCTAAAGTTTACATATACTAGGGGAAGGAACAAAAGTTTCTAAATGATTTTTAAAATCAATTGCTTTTTTTTTTTTGGGACTTATTAAACTTTTAGTTAGAATTTCAGTTCAACAAGTCAGGGTTATAATTTTACGATCTGGAAAAAAAAGAAATTAGCTTAAAAGAACTAATTTCTCGAAGAAAACTAATTGATTTTTAAAATCACCCAGGCCCAACCTGTGTATATTGCTATCCTATTATATAAAATTTATTGAAATTGATGACATTAATAAAGATAATAGAAAAAAAGGTTCTATATGTAATTTTCAATCGTTTGTGTCGTTAACGCATCGGATAGAAGCACTTAAGATATAACAGAGAAATTTGAATTAGAGCTTACATCTATCTTGATGTTTGATACTGAAGATATTACAGAGGAGCTTTTTATCGGTCATAAATATTGTAGTTTGTATACGACGAGTCGGTCCCCGTGCATGACGTCGTCGATATTAAAATATGACGATCGTCATGCGCGTTAAAGAGGAAAAAAGGGGGAAAGAAAAAAAAAAAGAAGGTAGAAGGAAGGAAGGAAGAAAGGAAAAGATAGAGAGAGAAAAGTAATTTATTTTTTTTTTATTTTTATTTTTATTTTTTTTTTTTTATTTTTTTATTTTTTTTTTTTATTTTTTATACTTGCTCCTTTTTCATGCGCGCGCCTTTTTAAAAGACGGTTTTTGGGCAGCACGTAGCGCTCTTCCATCGCACCTCCCGATTGCATCATCGATCGGACTAGACCGCACCTGCTCTTGGTGCTGGCTAACACCATCCACTACTAGCCTGCTTGAAAATTTTCGTTAAACTTCTATTTATCAAATGAAATTTTCTTTTTTTTTTTTAAGTATACAATTTATTATTATTTTTAATGTTGTTATTATTATTATTATTATTATTATTATTATTATTATTATTATTATTACCTTTTTTTTTTATGACTGAGGACAAGGCACGTTGAAAAAATCTTTCATTTCGTATTTATATAATAATATTACTTTGATATCATTTTATTCTTTCTTCTTTCTTTCCCCTTCTAGAAAAAGAAAAATAATGCTAAAGAATCGTTCATTCTTATTTTATTTTATTATTTTTTTTATTTTCTCCCTTTTTATTTTTTTATTTTATTTTATTTAATTTTTTTATTTTTTTATTTTATTTTATTTAATTTTTTTATTTTTTTATTTTTTTTTTTTTATTTTTTTTTTTTTTTTTTTTTTTTGAAAGATTCAATAGAGAGAAGGAAAAATATGGCCCGATATTTCCAGAGGGGAAATTTTTTTTTTTCATTTACTTTCTAGACGAATATATATAATATATATAATATATATATATATGTATAATATATATGTATACATGTGTGTGTATGTGTTTGTATACACCCCCATACGTATTTATTATCACGACGGTGGAAAACTGTAGTAAATTATCACCCGACACATGTATTTTCATCTAAAACATTTTGTTAGTTTCTCACGATGGAAAACGCATATGTATACGTGTATTACTTATATATATTTTTCATAGTACACACACATATATGTACTATGAACTACGGAAAAGTTTGAAAGCTTGTTATCATCTCTACCGGCCGTAACACGGAATGAAAACAAATTCCGACGAGATTTACTTTGTTGGGAAAAGAGCATCCCTATGAGAAGATACGCATACGTTTCTCTTATTTCTTTCATTTTCATTGAAATGTTCGTGGAATGCCAAGAAGACGATAAATCATGTCAGTTTCATATTCGAAGAAACTTGTTCCAATGATTTCTTTCGATTTTGACAATATATTCTCGTATTTGTGTGTGTGTGTGTGTGTGTGTGTGTATGTATGTATGTATGTATGTATGTATGTATGAATATGTAGTTACTACTCTTTTTTTCTTTCTTTTTATAAAAGATTGAAATCTGCTTATAATTTTTATTTCTCTCATTCTTTATTTTTTCTTTCTTTTTCTTAAATTTTTCTTTTCTTCCCCTTTTTAGTTTGGTTTTAATTTCATTTTCTTATTTATTTTACTACGTACAATATATAATGATGTTTCTTGCCTCGGCAAGTAAAATTAAACTCGTTCGATAAAATGGTTTCATGTTTTTGTATTGCACATTGTAAACATATCTATATGCATATGTAGCGATTAGCTAAGATAACACAGTACATATAAGCAACGTGAAGTAATCTCGCTTGATATTACATTTAAACATAATGTAATGTAGTGTGTGTGAGTGTGCGCGTGTGTGTGTGTTATATACATGCATACTTTATATTTTATACATATACATAAAGTGGATTAGATCGTTTAACGTTGCGAACGTATTTTTTTTCTTCGATTAGATTTATTATAAAATTACGTATTAGAAGAAGAAGTTTGTTATATGTACAAGATTTTTTGTTTATTTATTTTTTATTTATTTTATTTTCTTTTTTCTTTTCTTTTTATTTATTTTTTTTTTTTTTTTCATTTTTCTTTCTTTTTTTATTGTTACGTTTTTAAAGATTTTTTAAACATAGCATTTTTCTTTATCTATCTTTACATACGTGTAGTATAAAAAAAAAAAAAGAAATAAAAAAAATAAAAATAAAAAAAATAAATAAAAGAAAGAATAGAAAACTTTATGCATGTATATAAAGTGGATTATATCGTTCAACGTTGCGAACGAATTTTTTTCGATTGGATTTATTATAAAATTACGTATTAGAAAAGGAAGTTTGTTATATGTACAAGGTTTTTTTATCTATTTTTTATTTTCTTTTTTTTTCTTTTTCTTTCTTTTTTTCTTTTTTATTTTTTTATTTTTTCTTTTCTTTTTTTTTTTTATTTTTCTTTTTTTTTTTATTTTTCTTTTTTTTTTTTTTAATTGTTTTAAAAGTTTTTTAAACGTAGCTTTTTTTATCTATCTTTACACGTAGTATTAAAAAAAAAAAAAAAAAAAAAAAAAAAAAAAAAAATTAATAAAAAATAAAAAAAAGAATTAAAAAAGATAGGAAGAAAAATAGAAAAAAATAGGAATAGAAATACGAAAATAGATTATAGAACTTATTAATGTAATAATAATCTGTTTTATTATTGATTTGACGTTACAGCATCAAATACAACAGTTACCGCAGCAGAATAATTTGCAACAAAATAACGCTCAAGGTCTGCAACGAGACAACATGCCTAGAGGAAAGGATTCTAAGCCGAGGGGACGAATGACCGCATACGCGTTCTTCGTTCAGACATGTCGACAGGAACACAAGAAGAAGCACCCCGAGGAGAAAATCATATTCCGTGAATTTTCAAAGAAATGCGCGACGAGGTGGAAGGTAAGGCATATCAGTTTTTTTCATTACTCCGTTCTTAAAGATGAACAAAACTAACCGGGGAAAAAAAGAATTTAGAAAGACATCATTTTTTATCCTATAACGTCTTTTTCTCTCTCTATTCCCTAACCGACGAAATACCGGTCACGTGCTGCCTCCCCCTCCCTTTCCCCTCCATCCGCACCCCTCTTTTTTTCTTTTTTGTATGGGTTTAGAAAAAATTCACGTAATTTTTCTTTGCATATTATCATCCAAGAGAATTGCTACGTTTTCTGGTCTTGCCCAACGCTATTCAGCAAGAAACCAGTTTTAAATAGATATAAATATGGGATCTCGACCGTGGAGGAATGTTACTCTGGAATTCTTGTTCTCAGCTCCGAGATAGCATTGAGCATTATAGCCGGAATGAGAGAAGTTCAACTTTTAGCATGTTTAAAATACCCCACAAGAGAGATATTGAATTAAACAACGTAAAGAGTAAAGAGTTTTGCAAACGTATCATTTATATGTGATATTCTTCATGTATGTATGCATGTATGCATGTATGTATGTATGTATGTATGTATGTATGTATGTATGTATGTATGTATGTATGTATGTATGTATGTATGTATGTATGTATGTATGTATGTATGTATGTATGTATGTATGTATGTATGTATGTATGTATGTATGTATGTACGTGTGTATGTATGTATATATGTATATATGTATGTATGTATATCATAAATCCTATGAAACTTTTTCGAAACATGAACTTCGATCTCTCTCTCTCTCTCTCATTGTCGTTTCAAATTCCTTTAAGTGCATATAATCTGTATTTTAAAATTTCTTTCTTTAGTTACGGAGAATTCTTGCGTGAAATCTTTCTTCCTCCACACTTTTCCACAGATTTTCTTCTTTTCTTTTAATATGTGTGTGTTATGTGCAAGCACGTACAACATCCACACAGAGAGAGATAGAGAAGGGGTGGAAGAAAAGTTTCTTTCATAAAATCAATTATTTTTTTTCAAAACTTTTTAGGTTTGTAGTTAGACTTGCAGTTTTACAATCTGATGAAAGGATCAATCGAAAAAGTCTCGAAAAAGAGTAACTGATTTTTAAAATCATTTAGGAATTTTTGGCCTACCTAGGAATTTTTTGAAATGATACATATACACACACACACACACACACACACACACATATATATATATATATATATATATATATATCATTAATTTACAAACGTACAAATTGGAAAAAAATAACGATGATAAATGTTCGAAACGATTTTTCGTTTAAACTTTCACGAAGTTACGATAATGAATAAGTTTTTGCTCATTTCGAAGAAATTGCTGTTGGCATGGTCGACACACAATATGCAGGACATACACCACACCCTTTCTTCGCCAATTTTTCATGTCGGTTCCTTCTTCATGCCTCTATTACGGTAACGACCGTTAATGTTCCTGAGAATTCTTATTGCTTCGCTAGTTATTACTGTTTACTTGATTCTCAAAATTAGGAACCATGAAATATATTCATAGTGAATAAATTGGCGATTACTCTCTCATTTCATTTTCAATTGAATATATGAAGATGTCGATTCTATGGAATGTACGTTCGTTGAATGACAACATCGAAAATTTGTATTCGCAAATGGAATATATATATATATATATATATATATATATATATATATATATATATAAATTTTATAAATGCATATATACACGGAATGTTTCAAAAGTTAGTCATGGATGAGCTAAAAGTTTATAGATAATTTTAAAAATCAATTACTCTTTTTCGGGACTTTTTAGATTGGTTTTCTTTTTTTCAGATTATAAAACTATAAGTCCAGGAACTTTATTACAATGTGAGAAAAAGAATCAACCTAAAAAGCCTCGAGAAAAAGTAATTGACTTTTAAAATACTCTAGAAAGTTTTGACTTATCCTGTATATAAATATTTTATATACGTAATATTTTATATGCATAAAACATAATATATATTTTTATGTTTCACGCCTTTTTATATCTATGTTTTGCACTCACGTGGGTGGACTGTTCTACATATTATTGATTATATGCCTTTCGTGAGAATAACTCTAAATAGAACTAATGCTTCACTATAATGATTAACTTCGGATAAAAAGACTTTACTACATTTGTTTGTACCATACACGGGATTGATATTTTTTCAATGATGTATCTACTTTTATTAATCTTTGCAAAACATTCTTTCAATTTGCAGGCGCAATGTTCGTTTGTCAGATATTTAAAAACTTTTTTTTTTGTTTTTTTTTCTTTTTTTTTTCTTTTTCTTCTTCTTCTTCTTGCAATCAGAAACTTTTGCGTAGGATTGAATAGGTATCGAGTATATTCAACAGGTCTCGCTCTACTTAACGCGAAGTTTAAAGAAGTCTTGTAATCGAGATGAGAATTTCTGATAATTCACCTGCAATTTAGTCCTTTACACAGAATACTACGAATTTCAGCTTGTATTCCTTCTTCTTTTCTTCTATCTTGTTTTCTCTTAATTTTTGTATTCTTTTCTTTCTTTTTTTTTATCCCTCTACAAACTATTTTCAAGATAATAGCTGTGTTATATGTTGCAACGGTTGAGAAGATGGAAAATATTTTTATCTTAGATAAATAAATTATGTATACATATATGTATACATATATATATAATATATATATATATGTGAAGAAAATTTATTAATCTGTAGTATTTTTAACATCGATACAAAATTGTATTGGATTTCCTTTCGATTGGCCTTTCTCTATTTTTCTCTCTCTTTCTCTTTTTATCCCTCTTTTGGTGCTATCAACGATGAGGAGATATTTTTATCGGATAAGGGTTGCGCTTCGAAAATCGATACACTCGAGCGCATGCCTGAGAAGTTAGAGAATCCAAATGATTTTTAAATCGGATCATCAATCGTATATTCGTCGTTGATTCGTTCGTGACTCGCTTATGTCTTTCTGTCTTTCTTTAAACGTCCATCAGAGATATTATCGACGGGTACAGAGTTCTTCATTAATCATCGACGGAAAGAGACGTTCATTCATCCGATTAAAAAATTTTTAAAATAAAAAAAAAAGAACTTGAAAATATTTTGTTAGATTTATCCGGTGATAATAATTATTGACTTACAAATTCTTTTCCGTTAAGATTCTTATACACTTTATTCTCTTGTAATTAATGATACTACAGGATGTGTCGAAAGTCTCTGGATGAGCCGAAAGTTCCTAGATGATTTTAAAAATTAATTATTTTCTTTCGACACCTGTAATTAGGTTTGTAGTTTTAGAAGCTAGACTTGTAGTATTTACAATCTGAAAAAAAATTGGCCTGCAAAGTCTCGAAAAGGAATAATTGATTTTTAAATCTTTTGATCCGGCTTATATATATATATATCATTCGTATCTTTTGATATAGATATATAAATTAATAAATAACAGACACAAAATTTCATCTTTTGAATCATCGAATTATCTTTCGTCGAGTAATTTCATCAAGTTATTATTGAATAAGCAATTTTAATAAATCGTAAAGAAAAAAAGATTCAATCTATAAACCATGTCAATAATATCGTTATTAGTATTAGTTGCGATACACACTTCAAACACACATACATTAACAAGAATTACGTTTGTATACGGAACTCACGTGCAAGTTGAATCTAGCAATGCCACGGAACGTTGTTTCTCACGTTTTGCTTAGCTGTTAGTATTTATGGAAATATCAGTTTTTATCCTTATCGACGAAAGAAGAAACGTAGTTGGTTTAATGTCACGTTTTTTTTTCTTTTTTTTTTTTTTTTTTTTTTTTATGAGTCGCTGAGATGAATGGTATATATACGTACGTGTATATATACATATTTCTCCCCCCCCCCTCTGTGTGTGTGTGTGTGTGTGTGTGTGTGTGAGAGAGAGAGAGAGAGAGAGAGAGAGAGAGAGAGAGAGAGAGAGAGAGAGAGAGAGAGAGAGAGAGTGAGTGAGTGAGTGAGTGAGTGAGTGATATATACTTTTCATTCAAATCAAAATTCAGATTAAATAGAAAAATTGTATTACGCAAAAAAAAATTGTATTTATGGATAACAGAAATAATTTAAATATCATACGAGATGTGTGTGTGTGTGTGTGTGGTGTGTGCGTAAAACATTCATCTTCCAAGGATTTCTTAAAAATTAGAATCTCTCGAAATGTTCAAAGTTCGAAATCAACTGACGATTTCAAAATCAAATATTAAACATTTAGTAATATTCGTGCTATCGGATTATTATTTTAAAAGCGTTTAGAGCCGTGCGCTGCGCGATCTGTGCTTTTCTTTCGAGGCCTTGCACCCGTAGCGCAGCAGCTGGTGCATCGGTCAGCGCACCCTCGTCGTCGTCTTGGCTCTGCAGATAAAAGTGATCAGGCTCGACTCATCATGTGGTAGTGCCCCGTAGCAGAGAAAGTTTGAAATTACTTCCTGTCTCTTGTTATTTCTTAACAAAGTCGAAGTTTTTCATAAAGTAAAAGTAAATACACAAGTTTTACATTAAATAGGATAATTTATAAATGATAATAAATATTTTCGTTAACCTTTTTCCCTTCTAATTTACTAAGTGACGATAAAAGAATTTTTCATCAGCTTCGATTATCTCAACCATCCGAAAATATACGAAAGTAATAAGATTGAAGAGTGCCCGAGAAGAGTCATAATCGTTTTTGTTCGCCATCTTTTTCTTCCTATACAAGAGAAGTATATACATACATACATATGACTACGTACGTTTTAATGGCCGACGCTTTAATGGCCGCTGTAAAGTACTAACTCTGATGAATAAAATTCTATATGATTTCTTCTGCGATATGTAGATAAATATTTAAATACACTAAAAAAAGGAAAACTTGAGTAAAAATTTATAACCAATTAAAGATCTAAGTCTGGTTCTTATTACGCGCTATGTAATGATATATTTATTTTCTTTAGTGAAGGGAATGAAAAAAAAGGAGAAAAGTCGATTCTATATTCTCTTCTGCTTTTTATTTTAAATAATGCAGAAGAGCTCGGCCAGTCGAAAGACCCTTTGGACCGTGGCTCGTACCCTACGGTATTCTATCGACCAGCCCTAACGTGTGCCACCTCTTCCGCTTTTTTCCTGCTTCTTTCTCCTCCTCCCCTTCGTTCTCTCTCACCCTCTCTTGCTCACTCTTTCTCCCTCCCCCGTTCCTCTTTCCCCTCCTATACTCTTCTTTTACTGAGAACGTTTACTCCCTTTCTCTCCCCCCCCCCCCCGCTTCTTCTTTTACTTTGACAAACGGCCAGTTTTACTATTTAGCATATATTTCATAATAGAAGACAAAATTAGATAGGGTAGATTTAACAACAATAAAAATGAATTTCCAAAATGTCAGGAGTAACGATTTATTAATCAAATATGATGTTTTTACAAAGAAAAAAATGGAGATATAATCTGTATGAAAGATACTATGAGAATTAATATACTAAAATTTATATCATCTTTCAAACATTTATTTTTTCCTCAATAATAGTTTCATTTGAAATGCTAATTTGGAAAATAAAAGAAGGCAATAGCGTTTATCGATTAAAATCGAACTTAATAGGTTTCGAAGCTTTTTTCCCCTAGAGACGTATGATTTTTTAGAAACGTTGTATACCTCTCTTTACAGACCATGTCAGACAAAGAAAAGAAACGTTTTCATGAGATGGCAGAAAAAGACAAGAAAAGATACGACGCAGAGATGCAAAATTATACGCCACCTAAAGGAGAAAAAGGCAGAGGAAAGAAACGTAAACATATTAAGGATCACAATGCACCTAAACGATCACTGTGAGTAAAATAAGATTTGTTTCAATTTGAAATGTATATATTCATCGGAAATCAAGTTTCAAGGATTACATAAAATTATTTATCGTATTGTCTCTCTTTCTAGATCTGCCTTCTTTTGGTTCTGTAATGATGAGCGTGGTAAAGTGAAAATGTTAAATCCTGAATATGGTGTAGGAGATATTGCTAAGGAATTAGGTAAAAAATGGTCGGACGCAGATCCCGAAACCAAATCTAAATATGAGGCTATGGCAGAGAAGGATAAAGCTCGATACGAGAGGGTATGTAGATAATAGTTAAAAATAAATGAAAGTAATTTGAAGAGAATGTTCGAATCTAAAGAATAATAATAGAAATATGATTGAATGAAAGGAAGAGATTGCTAATGTAAAAAAAATATATTTTAACAGGAAATGACAGCATACAAAAAGAAAATGAAAGATGGTGCACCAGTAGTGGTAGGAGCACCACCTGCAAATACTGTAAAAAGTGACAGTGAAGAAGAATGGAAGGAAGACGATGAATAGCGGCTGCATGATAAAATGTCATCTATCACCCCGTGTCCTTGATCCTAAAAGCATACCTCACCTACTGTACGTACCATTGACCTTAGCGTGAGTGTACTTACACCACTAGGAGAACAAATAACTAACCACGAGTCCCCAATTATTTACAATAATAATTGAAAACACACGCGATTATAATAATTATTTTAAAACTTGTGTGTATGCGCTATGTGAAAGGAGATTGTATGAATGACATTTGTATTTTAACATATTGATTAGCAACATGTAAAGTGTCATAGCATAGAGGAATGAAAAAGATGGTGCCCACTTTCTGTGTGAGATGGAAGGCGCAGGGGCTCAATCATTGTTGACTTTGTCTCCACACAATGTTAAAAGCTAATTTAGTTAGTAATAACAAAAGATCCACTAGCCTCGTTGTTATGCGATATATCACTTGAAAAAAAATGATTTTGTGAAATTTATCAGTTCAGTTCATTTGCTGCCAGAATATAAGAGACTAACATTGTATATCCTTGTACAGAACGTTTCTTTAAATCAAATTTCTCTCAGGTAGGGCATGGGGCTGCTTTGTATGAGTGTAATTGATTTTTATATATGTCGAGAATAGCTGTAAGTAATTAGAATAAGTATACTTAAACACAACGTCGAGATCGTACATTCACATCAACGTGTGATAGTTTTCACGAATAGTGGATACTAAGCCACGTGATTGAGCCTTGTAGTTTATAAGCAATTTGAATCGAGAAAATATGTAGTTCACAGCTTTTACAAATCAAAATTAGGACAGTATATTCTGACAGTCCTATACTTACAGAGAAGGGTGCTCGTTGTTGTATGCACAAAAAGTCGAAATTTTATTTGCATGACGTGCTACAACACACACCACAATTGCTGAGAAAGATCACAACACAGATCAACACAGGATAGAAAAATGCCCTAATTTTACTTTGTATAGTGACTTCGATCATTAAGTTTTACTATAAAAATATGTAAAGATTTATGTTTTTTATTCATTTTGATGAGGAACTTCGTAAATGGCAGTTGTTTAAGTAGACAAATATTGTAATTTTTATTTTATTTTATTTTTTTTTTCCTAACGCGTAGAAGTGGTCCCCCTGCCCTTACCATCGTCATCCTCCCTCTCATATTCATTATGTCAATAAAGGAAATACTTAAATCCTATCCAAACCATTTGATTCCCTTAATTGTTCAAGAAAGCAAAGTAGGGCGTGTTTTGTACTGCCTTGAGTCATCTGGTGTACAGCAGGCTGTATTATAATAAATTATTGTGGTTTCTTGTAATGTTAACATTCCTAGAACTTAGTATGTACAGATCCTTATCATTGAAATTAGTGCAAACTATGTAAGTGGCACGCAGATGAAATAGATCTGGTCACTTGTTTTGTGAATTTGTTAACCAGATCAATATGCGAAGTGAATATAATACAACAAAAGGCTTTCTTACGGTCAGACTGACTTGCACCTTGATTTGGCTCAGCAGTTAGCCATCATTTTTCTTAACATAAAGCTCTTCATCTTCCCCCATGCATTGTCATGTAATGAATCATTGTATGATTATATGAACAAAAACCTGTTTTAGAGGGAGCTAGAGGATGAAAACTGTAAAATATAAAATTGTAATATTTTAATACTGATTTGCAGATGTGCATAATTTTAACATAGCTGGTTAAAGTGAATTGTACTGATTCAGAGGTATCCATTTGATGGAAATTAATAAAAACAAATATTGAAAATCATGACAGAATTTCTTGTGTTATTACAAAGGAATTATAATTGAAACAAAACACAAAACAAACAAAAAATATGTTTCTTTTGTATATCTCTTAGGGATAAATAAACTTTGCAAAAAACATATTAAATCGCTTTTGGTACTGACGCTTAACCTAATTATAGTCTATGTAAATCGTTGTACGTGTAAATCATTTATTAAAACTGCGTTTAATGAATATCTAACATTTTATGCAAATATAATAAGCGTATGAGTCCTTTATAGGCGAAACAAAAAAGAAAAAAAGAAAGAAAGAAAAACAGTCCGTGTTAAAAAATCTACTAAACATATAATATATTGTATTATACAGTGAGTAAAACGTTTTTACTCTGAAGCATCATACACATTTACGGTATTATTTGGTCATAAAATAATAGATATATAATACTTAATAATACAGTCAATCAAAAAACATATGAAATAAATAATGCATGACAGTTTAACGAACGACGGCCCTTTTATTTTTCTTATATGTTGGATCCATATTGAAGCACATCTTGCGTGTACGATTTTATTTATCAACAATTGGACCAATTGCATTATATAAGTACTATGTATGAAATTTTCATCGATTAATGGACTTTCATATAAAGTAACGCATGACAAAATTAGTTTTAGTTAACAATTTATGAAAATGTTTTTTCCGACTATTGAAAATATATAATTTATACAGTATTAATTAAAATATATTTCAGATATATGACTCTAAGATATATGAATGAAGTGGAATACTTTCAGAACTTTCTTTTTTCATTTTTCTCGCGCATTAAATTCCATATATAGTGTCTGTATCAAAATTTTATATAAGAGACTTACATCAATAGAAAGTACACTATCTTCTATCGACTGTTTTTCGACTATTTAAAAAAAAATTTCGATTGTATAAAATATATTTATCAAAAAAAAAAAAAAAAAAAAAAAAAAAAAAAAAAAAAAAAGAAAAAAAAGAGAAAAGAAAAGAAAAAAATAAAAAAAATTGTAAGTTAACGTTCGCGTGATATTTCATGATTATTAATGTAATTAATGTTTGTATGTGACTGATTCTTCTTCTTTTTTAATGGCACGAATAAGTGTTAAAGTGAGTACCGCCAATACTACCTGTAACAACGAAATATTCGTGTGTAAATTGTAATTATAAATGCCGCTGCTATTTTATGAGAAAACATTTCTAATTTATTCTTTTAATATGATTTATGTATCTTTTGAGATATATGGTTTAACCTTCATTAATACTTACATGTAACATACACAAAGAGAGGGCCAAACCAGCGAGCCATCCTGCTCTTGCTTCCAAAAACCAAGAGATTTCATCAACACATCCATGAAAGAAGGCATTTCCGGTAACCGTGTCACGACATTCAGTTGGCAAAGGTTTTAACATTCTCACATAATCCATTGGACCGTCAGCACCACAACATCCGACCTGTTTTAATCAAAAAATAATATTCATATATAAAATATTTCACATTTTTTCATGTCTAGGATTTACATTTATCTTAAATTGCTTACATTTTCTTGAATCAATTTAAGAATATCAGATGCCTTCTCGTATTGAGAATTAGTGATAAGATTATTCATAGATCTTCGTATAATAGGCTGAATTTGACTATCGTAAGTTGAATAATCAAGAATAACAGCTGCACCTGCTAAACCGCATATAAAACAAAATAGTTGAAGGCCCACGTGCTAAAAGAAATGATAAATAAAAAGAATCAATTTTTCCGCAAAACTCACAGAAGAGAGTATATAATAGATAGAGAGATATAATAATTGATTTGTGAAATCTTAACTTACGACAAAGAGAACCAGGACGTATTCCATCAAAGCTGCGCCACAGCCTACGAAAGCAACTATTATGACGAATATGGATGTTGCAATTAATACATAAACACCGATGTAAAATTCATACATGTCCAAGAACATTATCCAATCTTGAAATACTGGCTCAAACCTTAGCCATAAAGATAAGCCGAACATAGCGCTTCCAAAAATCTATAGAGAAAAAAATTTCAATTATTTATACGCTTCAAATATGATATAATTAACTTGTTATCATACAAAAAAATATTTTTACTAGCAAAATATTATTTACAGAAACATTTTTCTAATGACAATGATGAGGATATTTCTTTTTAACTATTACGCGACATTAGAAATTCCATATTTCATCGTGTACTTACCCACATTACGCTGTTCAAGCAAAATATTGTATACTTTATACATTGTATTTGCTGTTCCAGCTGAGGGATCGAATTTTTCACCACCATTTTGTACAATTTTTAATTAGTAATTCATAGATATACTACACTATTATAAAAAAATCAAAGATTTTCAAGATAGATACGAGATGAAATCGACTGAAACTTGCATGCCTCCTCAATGACATACGCAAGGCATCTTTATCGCTAACAAATATAAGATAAGTGGATAAGCACGTCCTAGATAAAACGCCCAAGTTGCGTTACGAATCCAAAGTGATTCACTCCCTTCGCAAAGAGAAAAAACAAAAATTGATATATATCAAACAATTGATAATCTATATTTCGTAAAAGAAATCGTAAAATCTAATACAGAAATTATAATATCTATTCGAAAATAAATTGTAAATATTTCATAAAATTACGATATAACTAAAAAATATAGAACAATTTTTTTATCATAAATTTAATCGATAATAAATTAATGTAAATGTGTTACTATTTTGATTAATTATTATTATTATAATATTATTATAATATTATTATATATATATTAGGAATTAGAAACAGGAAAATACTGAAAGAGATATCAGTATTATTAAAATGAATTTTCATGAATATATAAATATTTATAAAAAATAAAAAAATATGTGTATATACATATAGCGTCACACATATGATAGAAAATAATACAGATGTACATTAAAAACACAAACATATATTACGTTCTATTTTCATTCTTCTTTAGAAATGAATAGCTCTTTAATTAATCACTATCTGAGACATCTATATACGTATTCGCAGCCGGTCGATGTAATTGACTCAAAAACGTAGTACTATGTTGATTTATCGTAGATTGCATCTATATATGGAAAAAGAGAATTCATTTTTTTATATTATTTAACATGTTTACAATAAACCCATTTATCTGATTAATTGTATTAATTTTTCTACATGAAAAATTAATAAAAATTCCATCTAAAACTTGTTATTAATAAATAAATGTAAAAAAAAAGATTTCAATATTTGTGAATATCGTACTATTGATCTTCATAACGAAGAAAAAATTAATAATAATGATAATTAAAAAGATATGTCGATCTCTCATCTCACCTGTTGTACTGACCGTTTTCCTTTGTTGAGTATAACAGACGATGTGAATGAATCTTTATTATTTTTGTTTGCCACATTAACTTTTGCACCTCTAGAACCCTTTTCTAAAGTACCTTTGCTACTTGCTCTTCCCCTTCCTCTTCCTTTTCCTCTTGTAATTGTATTTTGTTTTCCTCTACCTCTACCTAAATAACTTATTTCATTATCATCATCATCATCATCATCAATATTATCATCACTATCATTGCCATCATTGTCAGTGCTATCATCATCATCATCATCATCATCATCATCATCATCATTATTGTAATGTGCTCTTTTTTTCTTTGATAATCTAGTACTCAGAAAATTAATTACCTGTACAAATAAATTTGGTAAATAAAAATTATAAAATAACCATACTGGAAAAATGTTAAAAATTTATATAAATGATTATTTTATAAATATTATCAACTAACATCTCGACTTTCTTCTTCTTCCTTCTTGTTTCTTTCATCTCTATATTCCTTAATTTTATCTAGAATTTCTTCAGGGTTTTCTAAACGTTGTTTCTTCAAGTATTCCTTGGTTTTATTTATTTTACTTCTAAAATATACAAATGTGTATCAAGAAAATTGCATTATTCTTTGCATAGAAAAAATTAAAATTTATCATTATCATTTATATTAAATAATATTCTTATCGTAAATTAAAAATCTATATTAAATAACTATCTTACTGTATCACATCTTGTATAGCCTCTTCGTCCGCTTTTATAATATATTGACTTAATGTTTCATTCAGTCCAGTAACAGACAAGATTGTTAACAAATCTTTGTTCTCTTCTGAATCAAAATACTCTTTAATACTTCCTTGAACGCTTTGTGTCCAACCTCTTTCTTCCTATTAAGACAATTATGAAAAATGTTAGAAGCATATTTAATATATCATATTTTTATTATGCATATATTTCTTATTACATCTTCAAAATGAAATTTATCTGTTAAATCATCCAATGAATCATTCATAATACTATGTTTACTTGATTTAGAGGTATCAGCAGTTTTACGAAAAAGGATCATATTCATAGGATTGAGTACTTCATCGCAATACTTTTGTGAAAGCCTAAAAAATAGTTTTTTAATATTTATTATAATTTTCTCAATATTATTATAATGCACTAAAAATATACCCTGTAGTTTCAAATACATCTTGTTCATCATTATAAAATAATCGTAAACGAATTAAGGGCTCTTTTGGCTGCTTATGATGTCCTGTAATGATATAGCTTTCAATATAAGATTACGAATACTAGAATATTTCTTTAATAAATTTACAACATATAATACTTGAAAAAATTACCTGTCAGTTGTCCTATTGCTTTAGGTATAAGTTTATGTTCTATATATTTATCTACATATTCAGAAATAATGCTTGCATTTGAAGATGTAGGTTGTGTTTTCCTTTTTTCTTCAATTTCAGGATTATTATAGAGTATTAGAGTATCAAATACAAAAGGTCTAACAGTATTTAATTTTAGTTTTTTAATTTTGAACTGTAACTTATTTACATATAGTAGCCCAACATGTTTTGATATACTTTCATTCTGACATAATGATGTTGCAATAGAACTGCCTGTATAATTATTATTAATGTTATATAATATAGAATTATGAAA